TAAAAGATTCCATTAAATATATCAACTATAGAGGAGAGACATTTCTTAAAATTACATTTTCCTTCTCTATATAATCTTCTCCATTGTAGCTTTTTATGGCTTAATAAAAGATATTTGTACATCAAAAACCAACTAAAAATGTAACTCGATTACAATTTTAAGCCTCGTTTAGTTTTATCTAAACAAATAAAATCATATCTAAGCGCTCTACATATACTTATACATAAACCAATTCAAGTTTTTTTACGAGCCGACCCACATTACCATTATGCCGAATATTCGGCTTATCTATTAAAGAAACTCCGGCTGTTTCCACCCAACCTTTTATCCCTTTTCTCATTGAGTGACGCTCATAAAAATATATCATTTTTTCTTTTTGATATCATTTCTACAGCCATATGTTTTTACGGTTCGGCCTCAGTGTCGGCCACCGTTTCGGCGAAAGGAGAAAATAAATTGATGGATTGTTTCATGTAATAAGAAACTGGCCGCTTAGTTGAAGATAAAAACTAAATGGGGGATTTTCGTGCTGGATACGGGGCCAAATTGATGTGCTAATAACTTTACATATATCAAAGAGTCTGTTTCTTTCTTATAATACATCCAATGATGTTATTGAAATAATCCCGGATAATGAACCGAAACTTACATTCTTATTCCTACTAAATATACATATTGATTTTTAGATCCACTCGACATTTTGTCAGTTATGTTTACAAATGTCATGATCAGTAAAATTAGGCATTCCAACGACCTGTCAAACAATAGGTGCCAGTGGGAAATTCTTGTATATTTAAGGGGGTAGCGACATAGTCTTGCAACTTGGACGCTATTTTTATTCGAAGTAGTACTCGCCAAGCCTGCCAATTTATGAAGAAATGTATAGGTGGGTTTTTTAAATATTATTTTTATTGTGTTTGACATAAAATATTTAAATGTAATCCATTATTCATGATTTTACGTAAAGTAGATAGAATACACCATATGTCGCCACCCTTAGATATACCAAACATGCCCACTGGTAATTCATTTGTTTGGAATGCCTAATTGTTTACATGTTATTGAAGAAAGTTACTACTAGATGGCGGAATAAGGTATAGTAAATGCTATTACCGACGGAAAGTACATAGTAGTGATTTTTTTAAATTTGATTTCGAATTTTAATACGAAATAAAAAAAAAGTATTCAAATTGTAATAAAAAAAAAATATAAATAATTATGTGAACAAATATTAAATTATTCAAATATTGTAAACAGTCTAGAGTTTGATAAATTTTAAAATAAATACATGTAGTGACCAAAAAAGTTTTTAAAATGTTAAAAATTATTTCAAATTCATAAAAATTACATAAATTATTGAGTGATAATCTCAATTTCTTCAAAAAGTTGCTTCGAAACTATTTTCCCTCAAATTCACTTAATAGCAGGCATTTGAAGCTTAATAACTTTTTACCCGTTAGGATTACGAAAAAACTACTTCAGTACTTTTTTGTAACAAATTAAATTTCCTACAAGAATAATTGAAGGAAAATTTCGAAAAAAAATTTTTACGTTGTTTTATTGGATAAAAACGCAAACAAATTTTTTTAAGTGTTATTTAAATAGGAAAATAAAAATTAATTGAGCTCCGTGAAGAATTAAAATATCAAGCTGCGCTTTGGAGGGATTTTTTTTTGCCTAAATGAAGCTTTTGAGGTGATAGGCAAAAAAACTTTTTTTTGACCACTCTAGTATATATCTATAAAACAAAGATTCGTGCCAAAAATCCCACAGATTAATTTTACAGCGAAAGTAACGCGTAAAGATACATGAAATTAGTCATTTTATATTTTTTAATATTTTTCTAATCCGAATATTAATAAACATCTTTTGTATTAAACATTTTTTTGTAGCTGTTATAATAAATGCGTTACAGAGGAAATAAGCACTCCCCTCTCTCTAATGAGTCAGGCTGTGAGTGACGTCATACACATGGCAGACGAAAACTTAACATGGGAGCATCCGGCCCTGGGTAGTACTGGTGTGGAATTTACCTAATCACTTTAGTTTAGCTTCAAAGTTTATGCAATTTGGTCGAGATTTCAGTAATATATAGTTAAAATAAGTAATGAAAATGAGTGAGGTAGTTAATATTCAACAGTGTTCTTCCGAAATAAATTTGGACAAACAAGAAACAGGAAAACAGAAGCGTTGTCACCTTTCTAGTGATGCCAAGGAAATAGTTCTAAACGTTTTTCTGGTGAATAATTGTAATAATTATTCCCATAATATCAATCCTCTTTAGATACCACTTTAAACTGTAAAATAGACCGAGTTGAAAAAATAAAGATCAGCGTTCAAAAAAATCCGGATAAAAATGGCTGAAATTTTAGCTGTCTTCTTCTGTTACATCACTATAAAAGAATAACAATTGTTTTCATGGATCTTTAAAAAAGGTATTTATTTTGAGAGCGCTATCCAGAGAGGTACGGGTTTAGCCTTTACCTCCGTAAAATTGGTGTACTGAAACCCTTGCATATAATATATATGCCAGTCTTAGATTACAGAAATGATTTACGTAAAAATAAGGTGTACAAATAGGTAAAATTTATTTATCCCTTGTAAAACATCAGTAAAATATATTATAAATTGTTTCCATTCACAAATATTAATTTCGTAAAAATCTAATAGAGGCGCCACTTTCCAGACAAAAAATCTTGCAATGTAAGGGTTTCGTAGTACCCCACTTTCAAAGTTTATTTTTGACTATTTTTAAAAGAAAAAAATATGTACGTGTAGGTAAAGGTTAAATCTATGCTCCTCTGGAATCACTTTTCCAAAATTGAATTTAGTTTTTTCTAAAAAAAATTGAGAAAATGGGTAAAAAAGTCGAGTTTTGTATTTTTTTTTTTTTTATAAAAAACTGTAGCAAATTTTGAAAAAGTGTCTCCAGAGGAGCACAGATTTAACCTTTACCTATACGTACATATTTTTTTCTTTAAGAAAAAGTCAAAAATAAACTTTAAAAGTGTGGTACTACGAAACCCTTGCATGCTCCGCGCTATAGCCAAGTAAATAATCCTCTTACACACCTAGGTATTTGAACCTGCCAGTCGTTCTCTTTTACAGATATTAAAAGTGATATGTGTACCTAATTTATGCCATAGAAACAAAAATAATTTGTATGTCTACGAACAGGACCGCCAAGAGCCAGGTGCGGGGCCCCGGGACAATAAAAAAATTAAACCCTTTCAACATCACATTTATCATCCCTTGTGCCGCTACCGGGCCCCCACTTGCGCCTGGATCCCGGGAATTTGTCCCGGCTACCCCCCCCCCCCCTTCTTTTCGACGGCCCTATCTATGAACAGATATATTTAAATAATACTACTTTCTCTTTGGGGTTGGTTAACACTAACATTTTAAAGAAACCAATTCGTATGTAGTCAATATTATTTAAGTACCTACTTAAAAGTTTTCTAACCATGGTACTAAAGTAAATCCGATGAATTTAAGTATATTTCACTCTACATGGTCTAAGCCCTCCCCCAAGAAAAGTTATTCCGCTGCCAATGACTATAACATATAATTAGCCCTTATTTTTAAATCACTCTGAACAAAATTAACTATTTCTATTTTAGAACAAAAAATCGACAATTATTTTCATACATAAGCGTAAGAAAACAAAAAAAATCGATTTTGTACTTAATGCTGAATATAAGATCGCAGATAGGTAGCTATTGCTCATGCGCAAAAATAGAACTTTCAAATTCATATATTTTATATTTTAAAACAATATTTAAGGCACAACTAGGGCTAATTATAATTATTAAAGCTTATTATTACTACTGTATTTCTTATTTTATAATATTGTATCTTAAAAGCTGTATAAAAAAAGACATTATTCAAGCCACCAAAACACTAGCAAAAGTTAAAAATTTTAAATTCTTACAGTACCTATATGTCGAAGTACGAGGTTTATATGCATATTAGTATACTTTATATAAGGTATCAATATCAATATTAATTAAATAAAACTTACCAATATAAAATTCAAACTGTTCACGGGCAAAATTCTTCTATGGTAAAACTGTACTTTCGAGATTTCCAGTTATACACGTTCAGAAATTGTATTTACCCTTTGTTTTACTTTCTCAGTACATTTAATTTAAACTTTAAACACTTTTCACACAGAAATACATAAGTTTTTGTAAGTTTTCTCATTAAAAAGCACAGAAGAAACTTAAAAATTATTCGACTGTCTAGGTAGAGCCTGTCACTAAACATACAACGAAACATTTAGAACACGGAAAAGCAGGAAGATCATAGAAAGATAAATTCAGAATTCGATACGATAGCCGTAGCAAGCCATGCAATCTGCCAATCAGTAATCGATTATTTCTAAAAATCGATATTTTTTTAAATGTAAGAACTAATTTTTTTTCTGGATCTGAATTCTGAATATTCCGAAAAGAGTGAGGGTGGGATATTATTATACCAATGCTTGGCTTCAGTTTATTTAATTGTTGGAGCCCAGCCCATTAGGTATAGTATCAATTGGGGTTTCAATTTAAAATTTATTAGTAGCAGTGTTTTGTACCTAATGTTTTTAATTAGGTATTATTGCAACGTTGCAATTTTTTTTCTACCCCGAAATTACGCCACTGCAAAAATAAGTCTAAAAACCCCAATTTTTCTCACAATTACGACACAATTCCCTAATTTAACGGTTGAGGTCTTTTGGCAGCTCTTTCTTCGCTCCTTAATGAACAACCGCGTAGTCCGCAATATGCTAATGACGTTTCAAAGGTGAGGGAGACGTTTTTAAAAATGACATTAAACTTTGATAGATCTTGATTATGTTAAGAGGGTCTTGTAGGTAATTAAGTAATAAGTAGAGGCTGTGGTTTTTATGGTTTACGGGTGTAGAAGAAATTATAGCGAATAGAATAAGTAAACGCCACGGGTAACTCCGTTTTTTTTTGGTAACAAGCTTTTCTCTTGTTTACAGAATCTTAAAAATGTTGATTTGCAAAACAATCCAAGGTAAATTAAAAAAAGTAGGCAATGATCTAACGATGGTGTATCGAAAAACGACAATAAATAAATTATAAATACATCCTAATAGATATGCAACCCGTGAACCCGTACTATATTGCTACCAAAAGCATGCAACCAACATTACACTTTCAACAATAAACTATTTTTTTACTGATAAAAATAGTAAATAAAAAGCAGAAACCTAATGTTTTTTTATTACATTTAGATACAAAAACTTAATTTTCGTATACTGTGACTATTTTTTTTGTAAACCATCTCTAGTTAATGTATTTCACAAAAATGGCTTTGATGAAATTTTCAGAATATCTACAATATTATTTTTAAATTAAAACGTATTTAGCTGCGAAATTTTGTGGTCCAGTTATTTAAAAGGACATTATTATTTGAAATAGTACGTTAATGAGAGACATTGTTGCATTCATTTCGCATTTTATGATAATATTATGCAAGAATTATCTAACTGAATAGAGCTCGGAAACACACGCCGTAATTAAAATATCATATACTGCCTTACACATGAAAGCCTAATTAATAATGGTAATTTGCTATTCTCTTTTGGTTTTTTTATCAACGACGGTACGTGATGTGTATATTTCTGTTTTTATATACCTAGGTAAAGGATTTTTTAATTTGTTTTCTAGCATGCAAAAAATGAATACAAATAATAACTGTTTGTGGAGTGGGAAATGAAAAAAAATTAAGGAAACAGACCCATTTATAGAATAATGAGGTAGGCAACACATAAAACACAAATTATTCGTTTTTAGACTAATAGGTATATATTTATTTAGCCATAAATTATTTATGGTTTTAACAAAGTTAAGGGCAATGGTAAATATAAAAAATCTATACTCGTACATGCTATTTAAAATAAAATTCAGTTTCCAGTTGTACTTTTTTTAATGGTTTATGACGCTAATATTGTGAAATTGACTTAAAATCGAATTATTATTTTAATAACGTTATTAGGACAACACCAGGGGACCTATTTTCAAACTCGAGAGAATTCATTTCTCTCAAGAGAAATGTCATACGTCAACGTAAAACCGTATTTTTAGGGCTCTTAGGGCCAGTGTGAACTCACTGACTGTTTCTCTCGGTTTATTTAGAGAGAATTAAAAACTTCCTAAGAATTTTAATCCTCGATGCCTTTAAAAACAACATTTCCACATTGACGTATGACATTTCTAATGAGAATCTTGAGAGAAATGAGTGCTCCCATACTTTGAAAATAGCCCCCCAGAGATTAGGGTCTGGACTGTCTGGACAACACTAAAATCAGAAAAGAGAAAATACTGTTTTTTAATAATAAATAGAAAAATAAAGATATATTTAACAGCTAAAATAACTATTATACCTACTTAGGTACCTACATCTCTACATATGTCATTTAATATTCTAATTTATTTTTCTTCTTTAAAGTTCAACAAAAACCGTTCCAGACGTGTTAGTCACGGTCATTTTTTTAGAAATGTGACTGAACGAACAACCCTCATTGTTTCTCACTCGAAATATGGCGTGAAAAATTAGGGCTTTCTCAAACAAGGAGATTGATGATGATTTTATAGTAGAGTGCACACAAAAACCTTTTTTAAAACTGACTGAATAGAATAAATGACGCGAAAGGTTTCTTTTTAGGTTAATCGAGTTATATTTTGGTAGTAAGTACGTTACACGTTAAATTTTCCGCTTCTGACCTTAAAAAGTTCTACTTTTATAAAAAAATTCCCTCCCGTTAACAAAATCGGTTTTGTACCAGAAATATAAGCATGTACATATTTTCCAAAAAATATTTATTAAAAGAAAAACAAATTATAAAAAGTATAATCTAAAAAACATAAATCTTTTAACAAAACTTTGAAAATGTATTAAAGAACTAACAATTTTAATTTCACTTATTTTTAAAATCATACGTTTTTCAAAATTTGGTGTAGAAAATTCCCGCAAAACGGGAAATTTCCCTCTAGTTGGCAACATTGAATTGTCCAAAGAAATGAATAATTGGATTGACAAAAAAATTCGTATATCGATCGATGTAATATTATCTTCGTTATAAACTATCGATTTTTTTAGTGACAATCGATCGATTCAAGATTGGTACCCCTGTCGTGAAATCTGAATTTTACGTTGACTTTTAAATATATGTCTGGGTGATGATCTTGTGTTTCTTGTGTTTTTTTGGCCAAAAATGTTTATATTTCTGTGTGGAAACTTTATAAAGTGTCAACCAATTGTACGGAACAACAAAAATTGATAATAATAAAGTTTGTAAAGTGGCTAAAATGAAATAATTTGTCTGTTTGATTAATTTGAAGCCAGTTAGTGGTACAGTTTTGCCATAAGATCATTTTTTGAACTTTGAAATGGTAAGTTTTTAAATGCTGAATATGTGTTTTAATAAAAATAGAAGGGGTCCATTAATATAGATGCCAATTTTAAGTTTTTCCATAAAAAAAATGTTCATTAGAGTAAGTCATAATACTGTTTTATTATTTAGTGAACCACAAAAAATTATTCTAAAGTAGGTAGGCCATGACAAAGACAGAAATACGTCCGTGGTTACTACGTACGGCTCTGAATTAAATTCAAACGACACTTAAAAAGAACTACGCTCCGTGAATTTTTCTAGGGCCTACTTTAGAAACATTTTTTGAGCCATTACACCACGTATTATGCAATAATCATTTAATGCGAGTCGCATACTATATTTTTTCCACGATCATCAGTCCTAATAATGAAAAAAAAAACAAGCATTTTCAAGCGCCAATCTTGTAGTTTAGGCTGGTTATAAATGCGCATGTCTGTTCTGGCTTATTCTGACAATCAGAATCCTAACCATAACCCATAACAACATACTAATATAGAACAGAAGTAAAAGTTGGAAATGCTTTTGCCAGTTCTCCCACTTTATACACATAAATTGACAGGTTGGCAGCGGATATCACCGAAGTGGACGCGATACATTGGCGTACAAAATTATTTTATAGATGTTAATAACAATTTCGAGTAAATAGTTTAATAAATTGTGAATAGCTGTTGAAATTTTGTAAAATTATGATTTGAATATTATAATACATGTTTAATAATTATTTATAATCCATAAATACATGCGATTGTCCGGTTCCGCAGATAGCAATTTTAAATTACTTATTCTATGAAACGACACTGGCAGGTAAACATTACTGCGAAATTCTCGGAGCCGCCCGACGAGGTTTGACGTTTACCCCCTCTCTACCTACCAAAAGACTTTTCAACTTTTACTTTCTCTATACAGTGCGGTCCGTATGTATGGAATAAAATTAATTACTTAATTTTTGGAAAAACACCTGAAACAAGTGGATTGCCATTTTTACTTTCCTATCTGTATACAGATATAAGGAAAGTATAGGAATCATGATTTTTTTCGACCTCGAGTTTTCGACGGATTTTTACGTTTTGAGGTCCCCTGAATCCGTTTTGACTATTTTCGCGATGATGTCTGTGTGTGTGTCTGTGTGTGTGTGTGTCTGTAGGTCGCATAACTCATGAACCGATACACAGAAAAACACCAAATTTTAAACTTAAGCTTTGTTTCAGCGTCCAATGAGCTTATTAGATTTTGGGCAGAGTCGGAACATCTGGGGGGGTACTTTAGAGGTGGTCATTTTTATATTTTATGGAATATATCTGTTATTTACGTTTGGAGAAGAAAATTCTTCAAATAAAAGTTACTTCTTATATAATTATCTATAATTATCTATAATTTTTGTTTTATGCAAAATTTTCCTAAAATGGTCCGTATTCGAGAAATTTGACAAAATGTAAAAAAAATAATTTTTTATAAAAATTGTTCAAATAAAAGTTGTTTGTAATATAATTCTCTATAATTTTTATTCTATAAATAATTTCTCTAAAATGGACCGTATTCGAGATATTTGAGAAAATGTGTAAATTTCGAATTTTGAAGAAAACTCAAAAACGGATAAAGGAAAAAACATTAAATTTTAAACTTAAGTTTTATTTCGACCTGAGGTGAACTGATTAGATTTTGGACAGAGTCGGAACATTTGGGGGGTACTTTATTGGTGGTCATTTTTATATTTTATGGAATATATTCGTTATTTACGTTTGGGGAAGAAAATTCTTTAAATAAAAGTTACTTACAATATTATTATCTATAATTTTTGTTCCATGTCAAATTTTCCTGAAATGGCCGTATTCGAGAAATTTGACAAAATGTGCAAAATTCTGATTTTTAAGAAAATTGTTAATCTAAAAGTTGTTTGTGATATCGATCTCTATAATTTTTGTTTTTAAATGACTTTCTAAAATGGACCGTAATGGAAAAATTGGAGGAAAAGTGCTAAATTAAAATTTTTCAGTATTTTCGTTTTCAATGAATATCTATAGAAAAATGTTTCGAGGTAGATGTATGTGGAAAATGTATATATTTAGTTTATCCTCTAAACATTTTTAGAGATGCTGCAATAGGTTAACTAGATAGGAAAGTCATGTGTTGGACACATCAGATTTTTAATTTGATAATGGACTCTATATCAGTCACATTTTTTATTACTTCATTTTAAACTTTACCGCTTATGAAGTACTTTAGCAAAATTTAGCCGTCCAGATATTACTGGAGGTCGAAGAAATAATTGTTAAAATTGAAAATTTTATGTTCCCTATGTACCAATAAGTAAATTCAGAAAATTTTAATTTTGTTTCCAAATGTCTACTTTTTTAATCCCAATTTTCTTCTAAATGCTTAATTAAAAGGACAAACCAATGTTTTCTTTTTAAAATAAACACCAGTATTAATTGTTTCGACGTAAATAAGATTGAAAATTTCGACTTCAAAGGGGTCTAAGTGCCAACATTTTCAAAAATGATATTTTTGAATAGAAAGATTCCTCTAAGTTGGAATCATATGGAAAACTTGTTTATTATTATCTAAAATCTAGAATACAGTCATCAAATAATATTAATTTTTTTCAGTGGTATACGAGGTTTGTCAAAAAATATGAGTTTTACTCAAGAGTAAATCTCGGAGTAAAGTACCTTTATTCTTTATATGACTGATCAAATTTGATATTTGATGGTTGTATTTTAAGTTTTAGACAATGCTCGACTTTTTATAAAGAACAACTTTTTTTCCTAAAATTAGTAATAAAAAAGCTTTCCTATGCTACTGTCTACGTAAATTGGCGGCATATGAAAATCTTTTTTACTAAAAAAAGTTATTCCTTATAAAAAGTCGAGCATGTTCTAAAATTAATTAATTAATTGTTAAATTAAGAATAGAAATCGATATTTTTCAGGTTTTTTCCCAAAAGTATACAGGGTGGGCCACTTAAAAGTTCCACCCCCCCTTATCTTCGTTATTCATTGAGATATCGAAATAATTTTTTTCTTGTTTGAAAGATTAGAACAAATACTTTTTTACGATGGATTCAATTATTCTGTGACGTCATGGCTTACTTCCGGTTTTTCCGAAAATAACAGAAAATCGTAATTTATTTTTTATTTTTAAATTGAAACCCACCTTTTTTATTGTAAATTTGGATTTCTGGGACATTTTTGTATAAAAATCGTGTATTGAAAATTTTCTGACAGCTTTGAAAATGGCCGTCATATTGGATAATATTTATTCTAAACATGTTATTATTAATTCGTTTATGAAAAAAAAATAGGTGTGTATGATCTTTATAAAATCTTTATCTTCAAAATTCCCATTGAGACCCATTTACCGTATACCAGTGGCGTATCTAAGCATTTTTAATATTAGCAAACCGTTTAATAATTCCATTCGCTTTTATCTTCGTTGTTAATTGAGATATCGGAATGAAAACTTTTTTGTTTAAAAGCTTATAACAGATACTTTTATACACTGAATACAGTTGGTCTGTGACGTCATGGCTTACTTTGGATTTTTCCAGATATAACTTAAAATCGCAACTTATTTTTTAATTTAAAATCGAAAATTTGAATTACTGGGACAATATTGTACAAGAAGCATATATTAAAATGTTACTGTCAGCTGTCAAAATGGTCGCCATATTGAATAATATTTTTTCTAAACATGTTACTATTAATTCGTTTATGGAAAAAAATATGGGAATGTATGATTTTTATAAAATCATTGTAAGCATCAAAATTTCTATTAAGACCCACTTACAGTACACCAGTGGCGTATCTAAGCATTTTTATTAATAGCAAACTGTTTAATAATTCCATTCGCTTTTATCTTCGTTGTAAATTGAAATATTGGAACGAAAAGCTTGAAAAATTTTTTTGTCAGCTGTCAAAATGACCGTCATATTGGATAATATATTTTTTCACATATTACTGTTAATTCGTTTATGGAAAAAAATATGGGCATGTATAACATTTTTGTGAGCTTCAAAATTCCCATTAAGACCCATTTACATTGTACCAGTGGCGTATCTAAGATTTTTGTTATTGCAAACTGTTTAATAATTTCACCTGCTCTTTGAGAAATCGGACTGACAACTTTTTTGTTTGAAAGCTTGGAATAAATAATGTCGAATACTGCTTCAACCGAGGCTTCAACTGATCTGTAAAATCATGGCTTACTTGCGGTTTTTCGAAAATAACAGTAAATCGCAATTTATTTTTAATTTTTAAATGGAAACCCACTTTTTATTGAAAATTTAAATTTCTTGAACTTATCAATGTTTATTATTGTATGGTGGGTATTGTTTTATTATATTGATTCCTTAAATATTTTGATGAAATTAAGCTACTTTAAAATTTAAAATAAAAAATAAACATTTTTTTTAAATTTAAAGATCTGTTGTGTGTCGTATTCATTTATTTTTTTGCTACTGTGCGTTAAAGTACGTACATTATGCGCACTACGGAGTGCATAAAGTTTTACTTTTTTCACTAGTGCGTATAGTAAAACCTTTTACGCAATAGTGCGTCAACAAGACACAATTGTTAGTATTTTGACATGACAAATGACATTTTATTTCAAACTTCCTTTACGCGTTAGTGCGTAAAGTAACCTTTGTATTTTTAATCTTAGTAGGCAATATGTACGGTAGTAGAAATATCGTATGCAATTCGTATGTAAAGGCCATTTTTGAAGGCCACTTTATACACTTATTATAAAAAAATTTCATTCCGATATCTCAATTAATAAGGAAGATAAGAGCGGGTGGAATTATTAAACGGTTTGCTAATAACAAAAATCTTAGATACGCCACTTGTGTACTGTAAACGGGCCTTAATAAGAACTGTGTAGCTCACAAAGATTTTATACATTCCCATATTTTTCCATAAACGAATTTACAATAACATATTAAAAAATATATTAACCAATATGACGGTTATTTTGACAGCTGAAAAATTTTAACACACACTTCTTGTCGGAAAACGTCCCAGAAATTTAAATTTTCAATAAAAAAGGGGTTCTGATTTCAAATTAAAAAATAAATTGCGATTTTCAGTTATATCCGGGAAAATCAGAAGTAAGCCATGACGTCATAGATCAATTGGATCCAGTAAATGAAAGTATCTATTATAAGATTTTAAACAAAAAAATTTTCATTCCGATATCTCAATTAACAACGAAGATAAAAGCGGATGGAATTATTAAACGATTTGCTAATAATAAAAATGCTTACATACGCCACTGGTATACGGTAAATGGGTCTCAATGATAATTTTGAAGCTTACAAAGATTTTATAAAGATCATATATTTTTTTTTTATAAACGAATTAATAGTAACGTGTTTAGCACAAAAATTATCCAATATGGCGGCCATTTTCAAAGCTGTTAGAAAATTTTCAATACACGATTATTATACAAAAATATCCCAAAAATCCAAATTTACAATAAAAAAAGTGGGTTTCTATTTAAAAATAAAAAATAAATTGCGATTTTTTGTTATTTCCGGAAAAACTGGAAGTAAGCCATGACGTCACAGAATAATTGAATTAATTATAAGAAAGTATTTGTTCCAGTTTTTCCAACAAAAAAAAATTATTTCGATATCTTAATAAATAACGAAGATAAGGGCGGGGTGGAACTTTTAAGTGGCCCACCCTGTATCATAACGCTTAAAATTAATTTATTCCATACCTATGGATCACACAGTATACTAATATTTCAAATCTAGGAAAATTTTGAAGGTGAGGAACATTTTTAGAAAAAAAATATTTTTTAATTTTATATTATTATGAGGTATTTTTTTTCTAAAACATATTTTTCCTATTTAAAATTAATGGGTAAAAAATGGAAATAGGGCAACGTGGGAAGTGTAAAATTCAAGTTTTATACAACCCTCCTAAACTACAAGAAAACTATGTTTTAATATACACAGCAGAAGTCCCAAAACATTTTTGTTTTGTAGACCACTAGTCCTGTTTTTCAACAAAATTAAACTTTCTGTTATTTCTGGGGTTAGAGGATGATGTATCACACTTGGTACTTTCTCTATTTAAATTGTTTTGGTTAAAGTAACGAAGTGGAGAGAAATTACATGACAGTTTAGGATAGTATAGAAAAGGGTCCCATTCGGGATCCCCCCTTAAATAAAAATCGACAGGTATTTAAGTTTTTTTTTTTTTTTCAAAAAATTACTTTAAGATATTCTGAGATACAGCCGTTAACAGCTCTTAATCAGACACTATGTACATTTCAAGTTAATCTTCAATTTTATTTATTATATCAGTATCATCCCTTTTTCTATATGATGGTGATTTACCAAAAAAAAAAAATGTCTATGGAGAGAAGGTATATTTCTGTAGTACTTTCTTTTTAAAGTTTACTTGTTTATATTTCGTAAAAAGAATAATTTCCAAAGTTATTATTAAATATTTTTATTTCAGATTGCAACCTGGGTCCAACGACAACCGCATCTTCGTCTTCCCGTAAACGAAGCAGAACGAAGGCCCGCAAAGGCCCGACGTTTCGACCGTCCTCAGAAACGACATCGAAGATTCTGACAACGACGACGTTATCCAGCGTAACGCTCTTCAGCACCGTCTCGACGTCGACGTCGCCGCATCTCCCTCGGCCGTCGGACTACGTCATCGACGGCCATGTGCACGCCGGTATACAGAACATGTAAATTAAATGCACTTTTGCTTATTAAGCTAGTCAGTAGCGTTGTTTTGGGGGAGTCATATTACCTCTTTAATTACGCTAAATAAAGCTATTTAAATCCAAAATTTAATCCTTAAAAAATAAAGTAGAGAACTATTTGGAAAAATAAAAAAAATACTTTCTTATATATATATTTTTTTTTATTAACTTTTTTTGGTATTTATATGAAATTTGTGACATATGATCGCAAAAGCTGCTTTTTTATTAAGTTTTTTATTATATTTCAATATAAAGATCGGAATTTTGTCACAGATTTATAATTTTTATTATTTTAATTTAATTGATGACTGAAACATTTGTGTATTATTTGTAATATGACTCCTTTTTAATATTAAGTCATTAGATGCTTACAGCAACAATTAATTAAGATATATATATACATGGTTTTCTTAAATTTCATGTCAAAGGTCAATATCGAATTATCTCTGCCCTGTTTTGTTTTTTAAATTTTTCTATAAATCAATTGCCCTCCTTTTATACGTTTATCTTATTCCACATTTCGTTACAGTATTCAAAATAGTTTTGTATAGATTCTCAAATGTATAACAATCATTTTAAATCTATCAAAATTCCAAAATATTTCTAGAAACTCACTTACTGTAAAAATATTGTTTTCATTCATCGAAATTCCATCCGTCAACAGATGAAAAATATAAATTCGCAAAATACCTCTTCGAGTTCAAAAAGAACAGAGAAGATTTATGTGGTGGGTCAGAAAGTCGATTTCAAAGTGTATTATAAGGGTTTGGCTACTATTTGGTAGATACAAGAAAATCTTGGAGATTCCAATCAACTTCTTTCCTTACTTGCTACTGTGGTCCTAACCGGAACGAGGGGAAGTTTCGCCAAAACTTTCGCGAACGAGTTATAAAAGTTCTTAAATTTAAAATGACAACAAGAGGAGTGGAATTTTAAAAGTAACTTAAAGAAAGAAAGAGTTTTTTGATAAAGTTCTATTAGATTGAGTGTTGTTTCAGGAAAAATATATGACTTTTCGATTAGAATAATTACTACAGGGGTCCTTAAACTTTTTAGCGGCGGAATCCTGTAGGAAAGCGAAATATTTGACGGAGCCCTAATAATAAAAATAGATTTAATAAAATTTATATTGGAATATTTAGATAGGTTTTATTTTACTCTGCAATCTTATAGTACTCCTTTTGTATTTTTTCTTTTCATTTTGACTAGTATTTTCACGGAACCCCCACAGAGGCTTTGCTTTGCGGAGCACTGAGGCTCTGCGAAGCACACTTTGAAAACCGTTGTTTCATAGTTAAAGGGAAATATTTTAATGCAATAAAATGAATTTAGCTCAAAGCCAATATCACACAAAATGTTACGACCGTCGGAACGTCTCCCCTTCAGAAAACAACTACTCCTTTGGCAAATACCGCAACAGGCATTGAATTACATCCGAAGGAAAGACAGCAGAGATAGAAAATTAATTTTGATTTTGCTCACCAAGGAGAACATCATTCTTGGACCGGTTTCGTCCTTATTAGGACTCCTCAGCAAGAAATAGATAGGTTCTCAATTCCAGTCTATAATGGAATTAACAAATGCTACACATTTCACCAGTATACCATAAAATTGGTTATGAAGAGAGTAAGAATTCAAGTAGTGAAATGGTGTCGCCATCTGTTCTTAGTAAGCAAAATCAAAATGCGCTGTGGTACCCAGTTAGGAAACTAGGTGGAACCAAAAAGCACCAGGCGGGCAATTTGTAGACGAAAAATAAATCAAAACTCAAATGTGGATAGACGTAAATGCAATAAAATGAATTTAGCTCAAAGCCAATATCGCACAAAATATAACGACCGTCTCCTCTTCAAACCGGTCCAAGAATGATGTTCTCCTTGGTGAGCAAAATCAAAGTAGAGAGTGTTGAAAATTAATTTTCTATCTCTGCTGTCTTTCCTTCGGATGTAATTCAATGCCTGTTGCGATATTAGCCAAAGGAGTAGTTCTTTTTTGAAGGGGAGACGGTCGTTATATTTTGTGTGATATTGGCTTTGAGCTAAATTCATTTTATTACATTTACGTCTATCCACATTTGAGTTTTGATTTATTTTTCGTCTCCAAATATTTTAATGGTAGTTAGAAGTGATTCTAAATAGTTGTTAGAATTTAAACGAATTACCTTAAAAAATTGTTTTTAAATGATTTATTGCTCTGTTTACTATAACACCCCGTATACCCACTTCACAGAACACATTTAACATGGTTTTATAATGTTTTATTAAATATCTCGACAAACCAATGTCTATAAAGCATGGCAAAGTCATAAGCCTGCAGAGCGATTTATATTTTTTGGCTAATTTTTTGCTATTTTTTACTCAATTTTGTATTTTTTGCTCCTGCCGTTACGAAGAAACAATGGCCCTGCCAGTTTGATACTCAAGCCACAATGGTCAGTGCTGTATTTTTGTTTCTATGAGATATATCAGAATCGGGTGTGGGCATATTTTTTTGCTAATTTTTTGCTCTACAAATATATTATATCAATTTATTTTTTTTTCTCTTGTAGTTCGTAAGAAACAATGGCCATGCAGACTTGATACTTAAGCTATAGTAGCAAGTGTTTATTTCTGTTTTTATGAGATTGTAACATATATGTTTGCTAATTTTTTTCTATTTACAACCGAAAGAATATTTTTTTTTGCTTTAGTAGTTTTCGGAAAATATTAACCCTTTTAAATTGAGAAAACCATCTCCCATAACAAATGAGATATCAAAATGATTTTTATGCCATATTTTGTGGCTCATTAGTATCTAATCAGTGTTCAGAATCAAGTTCACTATCATAACATAATTTTAATATAATGCGTTCGAGAAATAAAAAATATTTATAAGTGTAAGTATACTATGAAAAAACTAAAAAGGTGATAACAAAAATACTCTTTTTTTATTTTTGTGTTGCTAGATAATTTTTGTCCTGTTGTGTATCAGGATACTAATGGTCTTACGTTCCAAATTATGATATTGCCACGATTATATGATTATTATATTTATTTATTTGGTTATATCACCTAATTAAAGCGAAAAAAATGTATGACATTAATAAAAATCTTTAATGACTCTAAAACTAAATTAAAGTTATAAAATAGAACGAAAATATGACACTGATAATTCTCGCACCGAAAAGAGACCAGCTTATCTAAGTATAAAGCTGCGTAGCCATTGTTTCTTAAGAACCATAGGAGAGAGAAAAAAAAAATAAACCGATATTATATTCCAATAGCATGAAATTAGCAAAAAAATATGCCGTAAACCCGATTCTGATACCAGCTCATATAGACAGAGCTACATCATTTTCTACTGTAGCTTAAGTAACGAGCAAGCATAGCCAATGTTTCTTACGAACCATAAGAGCAAAAAAATAAATAGATACATATTTGTAGAGAAAAAGCAAAAAAATATGCCGCAAACCCGATTCTGATATATCTCATAGAAATAGAAATACAGCACTGGCCATTGTAGCTTAAGTATTAAACTAGCATGACCTTCGTTTCTTATGAATCTCAAGAGCAAAAAATAAATTGGTATACAGGGTGTTTCAAAAAGGTGTCATAAATTCTTCCTCAGATAGATTACCAAAAAATAAGTGGATTTGGTTATATTTACCTATATCAAAAACTGGCTCCTAACAGAGTCACAGGGCGTTAAACTAACATTCAAAGAAAGCTTTTTTTTTGAAAAGTTTGCTGTTGCAATTTTTTCTTTGAATTTTTTGCTAGTGCTATAGATTTGAAGGCCCAATATTCTAAGGAGGAAAAAAAAAATAAAGCGACCCCCTTAAAAAAAGTTGGGTACTTTTAAACCCCCCCGAATTTTTTTTGACATAAAGAAACTTATCGATCTTAAAATCAAAATGAACTATGAATTTTTAATTTCTTTTATAGCTAAATGAACTTTGTATCTTTCTTAGTTAACGAGCTATTTACAATTTTTTAACTAAATTTCTAAAGCAATTCGTTCGTCCTGGACTTAACATATCAACAAAACTAAGAGTAGGTCAGGAGTTATTGTAAAAAAAAACACATATAAAAATCAGTGGTATGCTGTGCTTGAGCCACCCCTGCAAAAATTACCTATTTTACTCAATTAAATAGTTTATAAAATATGTATAATAATTATTGTCAAGTGTTTATTTTTAATTATTAATTTTTTGTTAATTGTTTAATTAAAAAATAATTTTTTTAATTACTATTAAATTTAATAAATACATATTCAAACTAACGTGTATTTTTATCAGTAGCATGGTGAACCCATGAGGACGGGTGGCACACCATTTTTATGACGCTAATCCAATATTATAAATACCTGTTTTATAAAAATATAAATAAAAGAGGTAGTTTTTGAAGGGGTGGCTCAAACCCAGCCCTAGGCACACCACTGATTTTTATATGCGTTTTTTGTACAATAACTTCTAAGCTAATCTTAGTTTTGTTAATATTTTAAGTCCAAGACGGACGAATTGCTCTAGAAATTTAGTTAAAGAATTGTAAATAGCTCGTTAACTAAGAAAGATACAAAGTTAATTTCTCTATAAAAAAAAAATTAAAAATTCATAGTTCTTTTTGATTTTAAGATAGATAAAGCAAGTTTCTTTATTAAAAAAAAATACGGAAGTATCCAACCCCCAAAACTTTTTTTAAAGGGATCGCTATAAATTTTTTTCTTCTTAGAATATTGGGCCTTAAGTCTATAGCACTGGAAAAAAATCGCAACAGAAAACTTTTTACAAAAAAAAAAACGTTTTTCTGAATATTAGTTTAACGCCATGTAACTTTGTTGGGAATCCGTTTTTGATGTAGGTAAATATAGCCAAATTTACTTATTTTTTGGTAATCTATCTGAGAAAGAATTTATGACATATCTTTTTAAAACACCCTGTATATTTGTAGAGCAAAAAATTAGCAAAAAAATATGCCGCAAACCCGATTCT